ACTTCTGGTCCTGTACATGTTTGCACACATAATCATGGACATGTGCCAGCTTGCTATATGTACGGTTGAGTAAGTGTGACACTGTCACATTTTCTGTTAATGTGGCATAACTTACAGTTATGTTGGGGTGCAGGGTAATGTGTAATTGTAACGGTGTTACACCTGCACACAACTTTCTTTAGGTTGGGGTCTGTACATTGTTTCTAACTAAATAACTTAATGTTTTTATAGATGGTCAGACAGAAAAAGCCCATTGGACACCAGGTACTGGCTCCACAGACACAGTCCAGTGGACACCTGACCCAGGAAAGTCCCACAGATGCAGTGGCACAGCCGGCTACGCCACGACCAAGGCGTAGGCCAATACCTGCAGCAGCTGGATCTGCCCAGCAACTGGCAGACACACATAACGATGAACAGCGTCAGGCAGCAATGGTGGCTGCTATTACTCAGCAGGTTATGGCTATCATCGATCACAGGGATACCCAGTCGGCTCAGAGTCGGGGACGGTCAAGGCGTCGACACAGGCCGAATAAAAGGCAAAGACGGCGGTCAAGCTCCCCAAAAGGCTATAAACGCAGGCGGCGTTCACCATCATGGACAGGTACGCTAAGTACTGACAGCTTCAGCAGCAGCAGCAGCAGCAACAGCAGCAGCGGTAGTAGTAGTGAAAGTGCTAGTGAGAGTGAGAGTGACTCTGATATTTCAGAGGAATCACCTCGTGCCCGTTTGTCTACATTGTCTTGCCCTATAGCTAGTCAGATTGACAGCAAATTGAAAAACAAAATTTGGCAGAATAAATACATAGATTTGGCAAAATTGTTGCCTCACCATAGGAATTCTTCAGATTCATTCAACTTAAAGAGCACTGGTCCCTCACAGTTTAAGTTAATGAAATCAACTAAAAAGCCAGTGCTCAACAATATTGAACAATGGACCACTGCCTTTTTACGGTTTCGGCAATATATTCAGAAAGATATTCTAAAGAGACGCCAAATGTACTTAAACATTGTGAGTTAGTACGGGACATGGCAACTCGGAGAACGAGCATGGCCTGGAGGTCCGGAGGAACATAGAGGTTAGGGCTATACCTTGGGGGCGGGGGGGGGGCATTCCACACAGAGTATTGGGTAATGGCAAATACCCCGAGACAAGGTCCTCACCACCTCCCTAACACTCACTTTCGGGGCCAGTCCACAGGGTTTCGAGGACAAAACAGGCCAAAAATCCCCACAGACCACTGCTATGCCTTCACAGAAGAGGCAAATGTACAGTGCCTGCATGCCCATACCAGCACACCTGTTTTCAATGTGGCCAGTCCCACTCCATCATCAATTGTCCAGGTAGACGGCATATCATCCAACCCACTCCAAACAATCAACGGTCTGGTACCAAAAGGGTTGAATCAAAATGAAATAGTTACACCAATTAAGGTAGACATCTGTTGAAGAATTTTTACAGGGGTATGATTCAGTTCTGCGAGACTATCTTTTCAATGGGTTTAAGGAGGGTTTCCGTCTGGAGTTTGATGGCCCTCACCAATTTCGAGTTTGTCATAACCTATTATCAGCCTCCCAACATCCACAGACATTACATGCTAAATTAAACATCGAAATTTTGGCTGAGAGAATAGCTGGTCCATTTGATCAGCCACCTTTTGAATTTTTCCAATGTTCCCCTATAGGCTTAGTCCCTAAAAAGAACCTGGGGACTTTCGAATGATCTTCTGTGAATGACTTCATTCCTGAGGAGTATTGTTCAGTATCATATAATACAGTAGATGATGCAATAAATGTTATTAAACAATTAGGAAGGGGTTGTTTGCTAACCAAAACTGACATAGCCTCAGCATTTCGTATTGTTCCCATACACCCAAATGATCACAAGCTGTTAGGAATGTATTTTCAAGGTCAATATTTTTATGATAGATGTCTACCGATTGGGTGTTCCATTTCATGCCCTATTTTTGAGAAGATCAGCACAGCATTGCAATGGATTGCATGTACTAAATTTGGGGTGGGCCATATGTTACATGTACTGGAAGATTTTTTGTTTCTGGGTCCGCCAAATTCAGAGATATGCGAGCGGAGTTTAACACATTTTTTTAGAATATGTGACTTGTTAGGATGCCCAATTAAGGCTGAGAAGACTGAAGGTCCTTCTTCTGTTTTGACTTTTCTAGGGATTGAACTAGACACCAATAACATGGAGGCTAGATTGCCAAGGGCAAAAGTTGAAAAAATTCAATCTACTTTACGCAGTACAAAGAAAAAGAAAAAAGTGACTCTCAGAGATATACAGTCATTGATAGGCTTGCTTAACCATGCATGCTGTGTGGTAGTACCAGGTAGGGCATACTTACGGCGTCTGATAGATTTGACGAAAGGCAAACGTAAACCTCATCATTATATTCGGCTGAACAGACAGGCGCGTCTAGATTTACAAGCATGGAGTATGTTCATGGATTCATTCAATGGCAGGTCAATATTTTTAGATGATGTTTGGGAAAATTCGGCTAAACTTGATTTGTACACAGATGCATCTGGGGCATTAGGCTATGAAGCGGTTTGTGGTGCGAAGTGGTTTTATGGACAGTGGTCTGACTGTGGACTGGCAGATCACGATATAACACTTAAAAAATTTTTCCCTATTACGTTGGCTATGGAACTATGGGGTAACAGATTTGCAAACAAATGTATTTGTTTTCATTCGGATAACAAGGCCGTTGTTGACATTATTAACAAAATGTCTTCAAAAAATGGTTTGGTTATGTTTTTGGTTAGAAGGTTGGTGTTGGTGTGTATGAAACATAATATCATGTTCCAGGCCGAGCATATTCCTGGCCGGTTGAATGTTTTACCTGATTTACTCTCGCGTTTGCAGGTAGATCGGTTCAAGACATTAGCAACAGCTATGGATCTTCTTCCTACCAGTGTACCACACCATCTCCTACGCCTTTGACTTTCACAGCTCAACGATTGATCAATGCTTCAGTATCAGGAAACACTCATAGATCATATGCCACAGCTGTGAACTCTTATAACAGATTTCATCTCCAGAAATTTGGAAAAGAACATACCTTTCCATTACCAGTATCTAGTTTGATAAATTACATTGCATGGTTGTATGAACAGAAGAAACCACCTAATACAATAGCTACCTATGTTGCTGGTTTAGCCTGTGCCCCAAAAATGCATGGGCTCCCAGACCCATTACAGTGCTTCCTTGTGAAAAAAGTATTAAAAGGGGTTCACAACTTGTCGAGTGGCCCTGATGGCAGACTTCCTATTACTCCAGATATCTTAAAGCGACTTCTATCTGCTTTAGACCATACAGCCCCCAATCATTTTGATCAAACCATGCTAAGAGCCATGTTCTCCTTAATCTTCCTTGCATATAAATACAATATACCTGAGGATCACATTCGCTTGATGGGCCGTTGGCGTTCAGATGCGGTCAAACGCTACTTCAGAATTCCAGTTTTTGATGGTATGCAAATTCATAGTTAATTTTGTACGTGTGTAAGACTGTCTGCGGCAGCTTACAGTATTCCTTACCGCCCATGTTCAACCTTTTACTGTTTTAATATTTGCCATTGCCCAATCCTCTTGGTTGATGTATGAAATTTATCTAAGTCAATGATGTAACTGTCTGAGGCAGTACACAAAGTTTTTATGGCATAGATGTTATAGACTTATTTTTCTGTGTATTTGTAAGACTGTCTGAGACAGCTTACAGTATATACGGTATAAAGTCTAGTTATTTCAGTTATATGTAGTGTTTCTATAATTTAGACCACCATCGTACATTTTTTTGTTCATAATGTGTTTAAATTCTTTCTTTCTAGTTTGGGTTTGAATCTGAAGCGGGCCACTGTAATATCGGGGTCACTTTTTTACTTGGTCCTAGATTTTATTGTTACATGCGTCATGTCAGTGTTGGTTGACATCGTGAATGTCTGAGGGAGCGCATGGTCGATTCTTTTTGTACTACATAGCATTTTAAGTTTTTTTTATGATTTGTTTGTACTACATGTGAGACCAATATTTATGTGACGGGTAGTGATATCTACATTTTCTTAATTCTATGTGGCGCCAATAATTTTACCTAGTGCCAAAACAGTTTTCACAGGGTATTGTACATATATCCAGGTTGTTTGAGGTGAAGTGACTGTCTGAGGCAAAATGACTGTCTGAGGCAGCATGGAGTCCCAATATAACCTGGATCATTATTATTTTTTATTAGTTCCATATGGTGCTTGCCATATTGTTTCTTTAAATCTTAGTGTCCATTTGTCTGATTTGTTTCTTACCTCATGCTGTAACATAGTATATATCCTATGTAGTAGTGTCTTGCATGATTTCTGATATGTTTACTGTGATTTCCAATCAGATTAACATGATTTCTGATATGTTTACTGTGATTTCCAATCAGATTAACATGATTTATTGATTCGTAATGCTTCACTCAAATATTCCACTGGAGTCACCATGTGTTAGATGGCTTTCCAGTTTTAGTACGGTCATTCATTTCTGGCCCGTATTTATTAATTGTTCTCAACTTAGGCATAACTTTATTACTCTAAGGTTGTTATTATATTACACACTTTCTGCTCTGGATGGGGGCACTTGAACATGAATAAAGTATTATTTACGTTCAAGTTTGTGGCATTTTTTGTGTAACAATTCCCATCTTTTTTGCTTGATGTATTCATTATCTTGTTAAATATGACTTAAGGTTACACACCTGTTTTATCCTACAACTGGCATTTGAATAAATGCTCATTTTCGACAATACAAGTGTTTGTTATTTTATCAGCAAAAAACATAGCAGAGTAGCTTGTGTGTATGTATGTTTCTTACTGGCTAAGCATGATGATATAACGAATTTTATATCAATGATGGAGCATTTTGTGACACCGGCTATGGCCTTTGACCTGAAGCACATTTCTTCCTTGTTAATTCATATGCCACTACTGACATAGTAAGAACAGCATCGCAATGACGGACTTTCGGCGAATTTTTATTATTATTAGGATGTTGATGTGTTTGAAGTCATGTCAAGGTAGGTTCAACGTAATAGGAAAATGTTTTAAAAACATTTGTATCGATCATTCATTTAATCTCGGAATGTCACACTGTTAGATCATTGAAAGATAGTAGTGTATGATTGTGTACGTGTCAGTGACTGGTGTATGATTGTGTACGTGTCAGTGACTGGTGTATGATTGTGTACCTGTCAGTGACTATTTTGCTATTAATATCTGCTATTTTGTTGTAAGATTATTTGAATTCTTTCGAGACTTTAATGATATTTATGTGATTTCATTCGCTAGCTGCGTTGCAGTTGCCGCCCATTGTAACTGCATATTATGTTGCGGATGGTACCATCAGAGTATCGTGGAGTCCCCCTAACACAACACTTGAAATTGAAAATTATTATATCAAGGTCTTGGAGACTGGAATTTACACTTATAAGTCACCTAATTCCCGTAATTTCCGATACAAGAATCCAACACCAGACTCAAAATATACTTTCCAGGTGTCCACAGTCATATCAAATACAATCCGTGGATCGACCATCACCTCCGTTAACACTCGTAAGTACTGTACAATCTGTGTGATAAGCAAATCCATATTCCTATCGACTAATGTTGATTTCCCTCAGTTGCCTCTTTGGTTTCAGTATTGTAACTCTAGCATTTGTGACGTGTGGGGGCTAAACAAACAGCAGGAAGTAGATTAAAGGGAGATAATCTAACTTTAGATTTTGCAATTCCTATTCAACGTAATCAATTATGATTTTCGCTATTTAGGCAATATTTGCGTATTCATGTGTTTGTAATTTATCTATGAACTACGATGGGAAAGAGAGTTCCCTCTAACAACGACGACGACGACAACAACGACGACGACAACGACAACGACAACAACGACGACAACAACAACGACGACGGCAACGACGATGGCAACAACGACGACAATGACAACAACGACGTCAACGACGACAACGGCAACAACGACGACAACGACAACGACGACGTCAACGACGACAACGGCAACAACGACGACGACGACAAGTCAAGAAAACAATCTAAATTTTAATGCAATAAAACTAGGGAAAATATGAACGAAGTAGGAGTGTTCAGTTGAGTAGGTAGAAGGCAAGAGACCGGATTTGCTACAAATGTCACGGCACGTGATTCTCCAACAAGGAGAGACAAATCCCAAAGTTTTCACTACATACTACTGTAGGTTAGATATCTGTATAGATTGTGTATGATATATATGAAAAACAAACATTTTCATGTTATATAAATCATGCTTTACGTGGAATGGAATAAAAAACGAATATTCTAAATGATATATTACAGCCGCAGCCAAATATATACCGAAAGGGGATAAAGCAAGTCTGTCGTTACCAGTAAGGACTAGTGCCATCCAAACTGTTTTATTTAATGGGTTGGTGCTTGCCAGTATTAAAAACGGCGTAATCCGCCGAAGACCTCCGAAAGACATCACAGTAAAAGTAACAGCGGACGCTATTGAGTTGAACATAAAAAAGGTGGCGAAATCCAATGCCGGATACTACTTCATAGGATCATTCTCAAGAGAGTTAACTGGAGAGATGTTGGTAGTTACTGGTGAGTCATACTTATTTGATACTTGAAGGAGAAATGTTGTTAGTTACTGGAAAGTCATACTTATTTGATACTTGGAGTAGAGATGTTGGTAGTTACTAGTAAGTCCTACTTATTTGATACTTGGAGTAGAGATGTTGGTAGTTACTAGTAAGTCCTACTTATTTGATACTTGGAGGAGAGTTATTGGTAGTTACTGGTAAGTCCTACTTATTTGATACATGGAGGAGAGATGTTGGTAGTTACTGGTAAGTCCTACTTATTAGATACTTGGAGTAGAGATGTTGGTAGTTACTAGTAAGTCCTACTTATTTGATACTTGGAGGAGAGTTATTGGTAGTTACTGGTAAGTCCTTCTTATTTGATACTTGGAGGAGAGTTATTGGTAGTTACTGGTAAGTCCTACTTATTTGATACTTGGAGGAGAGATGTTGGTAGTTACTAGTAAGTCCTACTTATTTGATACTTGGAGGAGAGATGTTGTTAGTTACTGGTAAATCCTACTTATTTGATACTTGGAGGAGAGATGTTGGTAGTTACTGGTAAGTCCTACTTATTTGATACTTGGAGGAGAGATGTTGGTAGTTACTGGTAAGTCCTACTTATTTGATACTTGGAGGAGAGATGTTGGTAGTTACTGGTAAGTCATACTTATTTGATACTTGGAGGAGAGATGTTGGTAGTTACTGGTGAGTCATACTTATTTGATACTTGGAGGAGAGATGTTGTAGTTACTGGTAAGTCCTACTTATTTGATACATGGAGGAGAGATGTTGGTAGTTACTGGTAAGTCCTACTTATTTGATACTTGGAGGAGAGTTATTGGTAGTTACTGGTAAGTCCTACTTATTTGATACTTGGAGGAGAGATGTTGGTAGTTACTGGTAAGTCCTACTTATTTGATACATGGAGGAGAGATGTTGGTAGTTACTGGTAAGTCCTACTTATTTGATACTTGGAGGAGAGTTATTGGTAGTTACTGGTAAGTCCTACTTATTTGATACTTGGAGGAGAGATGTTGGTAGTTACTGGTAAGTCCTACTTATTTGATACTTGGAGGAGAGATGTTGGTAGTTACTGGTAAGTCCTACTTATTTCATACTTGGAGGAGAGATGTTGGTAGTTACTAGTAAGTCCTACTTATTTGATACTTGGAGGAGAGATGTTGGTAGTTACTGGTAAGTCCTACTTATTTGATACTTGGAGGAGAGATGTTGGTAGTTACTGGTAAGTCATACTTATTTGATACTTGGAGGAGAGATGTTGGTAGTTACTGGTAAGTCCTACTTATTTGATACATGGAGGAGATATGTTGGTAGTTACTGGTAAGTCCTACTTATTTGATACTTGGAGGAGAGTTATTGGTAGTTTGGTAAGTCCTACTTATTTGATACATGGAGGAGAGATGTTGGTAGTTAAAGGAGAGTTATAGTTACTGGTAAGTCCTACTTATTTCATACTTGGAGGAGAGTTATTGGTAGTTACTGGTAAATCCTACTTATTTCATACTTGGAGGAGAGATGTTGGTAGTTACTGGTAAGTCCTACTTATTTGATACTTGGAGGAGAGATGTTGGAAATTGATACTTGGAGGAGAGATGTTGGTAGCTACTAGAGATATGCATCGTGGAGGAGAGATGTTGGTAGTTACTGGTAAGTCATACTTATTTGATACTTGGAGAGAGATGTTGGTAGTTACTGGTAAGTCCTCGTTATTGATACATGGAGGAGAGATGTTGGTAGTTACTGGTAAGTACTTATTTGATACTTGGAGGAGAGTTATTGGTTTACTGGTGTGTTGTAGAGATGAGAAAGTTAAAGTAAGTCCTATGTATTTGATACTTGGAGGAGAGTTATTGGTAGTTACTGGTAAGTCCTACATTTGATATGGAGGAAGTGATGGTTTTCAGTTAAATCCATACCGATACTTGGAGGAGTATGTAAAATATAATACATGGAGGAGAGATGTGTAATTTGAAGAGATTGATACTTGGAGGAGATCTTTGTTAAATACTTATTTGATACGTTTTGAGAGTAAGGTAGTGGTAAACTATTTGATACATGGAAAAGATATTATTATGTATAATTTTCAATTATGATACATAAATACCTCTATTTGATACTTGGAGGAGAGTCCTGTTTGCATTTGTAGATACTTGGAGAAGAATTTTTGTCGGTAAAGAATTAGGAAATAACTCTACAAAGATCATAATTTTAACAAGATAAATCTCACTATCAACTGTTCCGACCAACGCAGTGAACCAGACAACCATGGTTTGAATATTATATACTCGAAATTGTGAAAAAATTAAGTTCCCCATTATCACACAGCCTGACACCTGTAGTTTCCATACGTATATAATGTTTACACTTGTGTTGCGACCGAGAAAGGAAAGGACGCATGTAGGTCGTCTTCAGATGAAAGTGATGGTTTTCAGTTAAATCCATACCGTAAGTATGAAATATAAACATGTGTAATTTGAAGAGATTGCGATCTTTGTTAAATACGATAGACGTTTTGAGCGTAAGGTAGTCGGTAAACTATTTTAAAAATAATATTATTATGTATAATTTTCAATGTATGTACATAAATACCTCTTAGACTGTCCTGTTTGCATTTGAGTAAAACGAAGGAAATAACTCTGAAAGATCATAATTTTAACAAGATAAATCTCACTATCATCGTCGACCAACGCCGCTCGAAAGAAAACCGAAATTACGAGATGTGAAAAAATTAAGTTGAATATCACACAGTGACACGTGTAGTTTCCATAATACACTATGATAGACGCTTGACGTACCAGAGAGTTAATGCCACAATATGACAGACACGTGACGTGTCCAATAGTCAAGTACTATGACAGACACGTGACGTATCAGAGAGTTTACTGACACAAATTGACAGACACGTGACGTATCAGAAAGTTTACTGACACAAAATGACAGACACGTGACGTGTCCAATAGGCAAACACTATGAAAGACACGTGACGTATCAGAAAGCATAGTGATACAATATGCCAGACACGTGACGTGTCCAATAGTCAAGTACTATGACAGACACGTGACGTATCAGAGAGTTTACTGACACAAAATGACAGACACGTGACGTATCAGAAAGTTTACTGACACAAAATGACAGACACGTGACGTGTCCAATAGTCAAACACTATGACAAACACGTGCCGTATCAGAGCGTTAAGTGACATGATATGACAGACACGTGACGTGTGAGGGAGTTAATTGAAACATTGTGACACCCATATTTTCCCTTTTCTTTCTCTACAGGCCCGTCCGTAATCAGCGGCCTTAGTTACCTGGACAGTGGTCGCTATAACCTGGTTAGAACCGGTTTTATCTGGTACACAGAAAGGTCGAGTCTAGTGCTTATTGCCGACATTGACACCAACCCAGATGCTGAGGTGGCCTTATTACGTAATAAGACAACGGTTGCGACGGGAGTCAAAACCTCTTTTGGAAAATATGCTGTCGTTTTGAAAAAACTTCAGTGTAATCACACTGGAATGTATCACGTCAGAGCTAGCAATGCCATGACTAAAACTCAACGCAATACCGAACCTTCTTTGAGGCAGTTTGAACTTCAAGTAAAATGTAAGTATAAGGTATAGACTATATCTCTATGTAATTTTGGTAAGAATTCCTAATTATAGAATGGCGATTTTTGTTGGTAACACACGTACAATATCCATATTGAACACTGTCGAATATAAACAACATATTCAAGGCAGTTTTTTATGTGACGTACAGAAGAAAAATGTGCTTTATGTGTACTTGTTTTCTCACTGAAGTAGGAGAGAACTAGCTTTTATTTCGTCGACATTCTGTCCCTTTTATATGGGAGAGAAAGTACATGTAATGCATATAATTTCAAATTGATTAATATGTCAACACTTAATTTATTATTGTATGTAATGTTTGTAATGTATATATGTATCTATGTATGTGTGTGTGTGTGTGTGTGTGTGTGTGTGTGTGTGTGTGTGTGTGTAATGTATGTATGTATGTATGTATGTATGTATGTGTGTGTGTGTAATGTATGTACGTATGTATGTATGTATGTATGTATGTATGTATGTATGTATGTATGTATGTATGTATGTATGTGTGTGTGTGTGTATGTGTGTATGTGTGTATGTATGTATGTATGTATGTTTGTAAGTGTGTGCGTGAGAGTGTGTATGTGTGTGTGCGTCTGCATGTGTGTGAGGGTGTGTATGTGTGTGTGTGTGTGAGTGTGTGTGTGTGTGTGTGTGAGGGTGTGTATGTGTGTGTGGTCTGTATGTGTGTGTGTGTGTGTGTGTGTGTGTGTGTGTGTGTGTGTGTATCTTTATGGTGTATTACGTCTGACCACCATGTTGTCTTGAGAGAAAACTGATATAGGCTCTAGCCTGCTGTCTAAACCTATCAATTGTCTATATCAATAAAATATATATATTCTGAAACATGAGACGTGCAATGTTTCAGAGATTGAATTGGAATAGATTAGAAGGACCATTAATTAATTCACAGATTGAATTTGACTAAATTGAGATTGTCGCGGACAGATTCCGAGTTACAGTGGGGTTAATTAACGAGATCTGTAAGGTTAATTTCAGTGATTGGGCGAGGATAAATGAGAAAAGGCATCGATTGATTGGACGACTATATACAGCTATATCAGTCCTGATTGATTAACAGAGTAAATTATCATTAAATGAATCAAGATCAGAATTACTTCAATAAATAGCGGACATATTGAGTTGAGGTTAGCTTGGAAAGAATTTAAAAATTATTAGTGATTGAGTACTCGTGCTAAAACTAAGAAAATCAGTTGAAACATCTGAGCAATTTTACGTAGCATGCCCATTCACATGTAACAGGAAACCACACCCGTAGTGAATTGAGATCTGGTTTAAATTACATGGAGTTGTGGAGTGCTCTGGCCTGGTGTAATTGAAACGGTTAAGGAGGTATATATATATATATATGTGTGTGTGTGTGTGTGTGTGTGTGTATGTGTAGTGTGTTTGTGTATGTGAATGTGCATGTGTATATATATAAATATGTGTGTGTGTATGTGTAGTGTGTTTGTTTGTGAGGGTGTGTGCATGTGTATATATATGTGTGTCTGTGTATGTATGTGTGTTTGTGTGTATATAGGTGTGTGTGTTTGTGTGTATGTCTATCTGTCTGTCTGTGTATGTTTGTGCGTTTTTGTGTTTATGTGTGGATGTGTGTGTGTGTTTGTGTGCATGTCTCTGTGTGTGGATGTCTGTGTGTAAGGGTGTGTGTGTATATTTGTGTGTGTTTGTGTGTATGTGTGTGTATGTATGTGTGTGTGTGTGTGTATTTGTGTGTCTGTATCTGTGTGTGTATGTCACTGTGTGTAATCAATGAAGTAAAAAGACATATATGGACACGGGCATTGTCAAATTATCGAGACAATCAAGACATAGATATAACATAAATTACATCACATACATAGAACATAAAACAAATACAAAGTTATAAATCTAAATCGAGAGTTGTGGTGTAAATTTAAGTGTTCCGATAATTCCCTTGGGAAGATAGACGCCGAAGGCGTATATATATATATTGTAATTATATATATACATTTGTCAGTACCATGTAGTTTTAAAAGCCGGAAACGAGTACTTTATATGAGTTCCATATTCGTGGGGAAATTATCTATGGTACACGCGATTTGTAAGCTTGTTCCTCCGTCCGTCGACAATCCTAAACCAATCCTTGTTATCGCTATTTCTTGAAAAGGACCAGCTGGAACATTGTTGATTTTCAAACATTTCATAGTCTTGGTCCTTAATTAAGTCCTTATAGATTTCGACGAGGATAAAACATGGCTGACATGTGACCGTCGTTGATTTGTACAAGGATTATTTGGATTACTTTTAAGGAATAAATATTTTTTCATTCTCTTTTTATGCTATTCTGATATCTGAACTGATCAGTTAAATAAAAAAAAAAAACGCTGAGAGGAATGAATTTTCACAATGGCAGTTTGTTGCCGCTATTTTATAATAGATAATTCTACTTCCGTATGATTAAAAACAAAAGAATGGAAAGAAAAAAGGACAAGGACCAACATGAAAGAAAAAAATGTACTAACCATCTCTATTTAACCTGGTTTTATTTATCTAAACCTATAACCTTGCTAATATTTGGACAAAATATATTGAAAAAATATATTTACTTCGGTAAAGTAAATTATCTCCCTTTGATTTTACTTGCGTGAATATTGTTCTCTCACGCCGTGATCTTGTTCTTGTTTATAAACTAATCTGACAACAAAGAACCAAATTCAGTTATAAGAATATGCGTATTTAAATGTCCATGCAACATGATTTAACAATCCTGTGATTCTGTACACAGACTCCAGCTTTTGTTTAAATATTTTATCTATTTTATTTTTTCTTCGTTCTGTCTTGATACAAACTGAATGTCGTTTCGTATTCATTTAGCTGTAGCATATGGACACATTTTATAATATTTTTTCGCTTCATCGCTTTGCCAACAATCATGTGGTATTATATGTATGAATTGTCTTGTATACATCATGTATAAAAATAGAAAATAAATACAAAAATAAATAAGTTTTAATAAACAGATTTATCGTAAGTTGAAAAAAATATTTCAGAAAACATAATCCAAAACTGAACAGCTTTACTTAAAATTCCTGGTAGTTATCGCTCATGTCATCATGAAGTCACCGATGGATGTCATGTATCATTATTGATGACGTCGCATTTATATATGTACGTAAAATATGGAAATGAAAACGTTCCTGTTTCACCGCTCATCGCGTTAATAATAATAATAATGATAATAATAATAATAATAATAATAATAATAATAATAATAGTCTTTATTTGTACTTGATAACAGAATGAGTCAAAGACTCGTCTACCTTCTGGTCAAGTATACATAAAATGTACAATAATTACAAAATGTACATAAAACGGAGAAACATTTAAGAAAACTGGAAATAAGTGCATCAGTTAAAGAATCCACAACAAATTAAGAGGAGTCCATAAAAAACATGTTAGCACTTTGTTTAAAAGATAAAAGTGATGATGCGTTTCTCACGGAATCTGGTAAAATATTCCAGGTATATGGTTCCCGATAGGTAAAAGATTTCGTATACAATGCAGTCTTAAAAGCAGGTAGATAAAATATGTTATTAGATGATGATGTAGTAAATCTGGACTGGACATCAGAAGTATATCTAAAATTGTACAGATACTGGGGAGCCAGACCATGTCAAACCTTGTACATTAAAACTGATTGGTTGTTCATCACTCGTTTTGTAAAAGGTAACCAGTTTAGCTTCTTATACATGTCACTAGAGGGAATATTGAAATCACATTTCAAGATAATCCTAGCAGCTCTTTTCTGGAGTTTTTCTAGCTTGGCTATATTATTATGTGAAGTATTGCCCCAGATATTTACACAATAGTTAAAGTGTGGATTTACAAAACAGTTAAAGTATGTTAAACAGGAAGACTGGCTAAGGAACACTCTCAAATGTTTCATTTGAAAAATGTAAAAAGACAGTTTTTTATACACATTGTTAACTTGGGTATTCCAAGACAAACAATCATCTACAGTGACACCGAGAAGTTTTTCTGTTCTTACATTTTCAATCATAGTGTCATTGATTACAACATTTAATTGCCGACTTTGTCTGCTTCTTACGTTGGTAAGTACCAATCAACATGGATTTTGTTTTCTCAGTATTGATACACATTTTGTTAGATCTACACCATTCAGAAATGAGTTTTGCGTCAGCATTTCGTTTGTCACTTATGACATCAATGGACTTATCACTGCACTCAACTGAGGTATTATCAGCATACATATTGGAGGTACAGTGTTTAATAGAGGTAAATCATTAACGTACAAAATGAACATCAATGGACCCAGTATTGATCCCTGAGGTACGCCAACAGTAAGCTGCTGACTATCACTTAATGTACTCTTATGTTAATGCATTGTCAGAACAGCAATAAGATTGTAGCTTTTGTAATAGGACGTTATGGTTGACCAAGTCTTCCTCTTTTTCCTGTAAAAATGACTATATTATGCTTTTATGTTTTTATTTTTATCTTAGGTAGCCCGCGAAGGGAAAATGGTAAAAACCGGGTCATTGAAGTCACAGGGGAAACGGGACAAACCACTCTGCTGAACGTAAGCGTTATCGCCAACCCCATGCCCACCGTTGAATGGTCTGCAGACGTTACGTCACTTCCGATTCTGCGCGACAACAAGTACATGTTTACTTTAAGGGGCGAGGTCATGGTTAATGAGACGTCAGACTTCCGGAAGTTCCATGTTAACGTAACTAATGAAGCTGGTGGGTTGTTGATCGTCACCTTTAAGATCCGATCTGAAGGTAAATTATCCAATGATACCTATACGTCCTAGGTAAATATAACACAATCATGTTGTGTACCGCGAAATCGCATTAAACTGTTCATTATTTCAAAGTCTATAGAACATATGATGCTTATTATTTGTTATATCGGATTATTGGAATGAATTTTGCTAAAATCTCACGTGAAGGTAGTGTGACCCGTGGACTCGTTTGCTATTCCATTCCCCTGCGTACATACGTTACACTACTCATTTGTCTGATGTTTGAAGTGCAGTAACCAAAACATTTTATTTATTTATTTGTTTGTTTTATCTACGTTTTATAATAATTAGGCCATGAGACTTAATTACGTTGAAAAAAATGATTTTCTAGGTAGGGAGGAAAGTTGGGGGTGCGGTGTGTGTGTGTTTGGGGGGAGTTACTCACTGTGTAATAGTGCAAAAATTTTGAGAATTAAACCTCATTGATACCAAACACTATTGGTTAATGTATGTAGTTCCCGTGATGCCAACGAAACCAACGAAGACTCTCCCTTGGATTAAAATAGTCATCCCAGTTACCGTCGTTGCCGTTGTCCTGCTCGTTGCTCTAGTCATCATCATCGTCGTACGGATCAGAAGGAGACGCCAAAAGCTACAGAGTAAGTTTGTTATGTTTTTTGTTGTTATTGTTTATTTTAAATATTTTCACTAAATGTTGGTACTTGATACTATTTATTATATACATAAAAGACGACGTTTTTCTGGTACTTGCCTTGAAGGAATTTCTAAAAAATGAACCAGGGAATTAGAAATCCACATCAGTTATACGTTTATACATTCTGTATATATAGTATTATGATGGTATAGTATATGCCAAATGAGTACTTATTTCCTGTTTTGCAGATACTTAAAATTTAAATTTTATTTTAAATTATTCTGTTGGTACATGTATGACTTATCTTACTTAAAAATGACAACTATTCGCATGTCTAAACGGGTATGCTATAGGTAAGAACATATAAGGACGTTTGTATTTCCGGACGAAAGACATTCTCTACTTTCTGTTATCATGTAGGCAAGCATTTTCCACTTGTTATATCGGAGCTTTGGACATGGTCGCAAAAACCGTCTCAACACACAACAACGCAGATACAATGTAGTTTCATCCTTTTATCAGGGTTAAATTATCAGAAATTAATCGAAAACATATAAGTTTCATTTATCATTCAAACGGTTACCACAATCAGCATACTTCGTCCCGTAATTAAAAGAACGGAAGAAGGGAAATGTTTTAAGACTTTAAGGCTGAGGACAATAGACCCAGTGATTATTTTAAGAATTTTCGGTTTTGTAAAGCGTGTCAGTTCAATTGTTTTCTGGCTTAGATTTGAGGTGATTTGGCACATTATTCTTTGCACTGAACAGCCAGACTCTTACATTTGGGTTGAAAAATCCCTTTCCACAGACTCGTATAAGTTGTTGTTTATCTTTTCATTGCAAAATCCTCAATGTTCCATGAATTAAAAAAGTTGAAAACTTGGTCAAAGCTACCAAAAATGATGACGTCACCGCCCATTTGTGATCAGCGTCATAGCAAAGAGCGGTTTTCCTATCTTCAAATATATTTCCCACATTTGAAAAAAGACAGATATATTGCTTCCTTATAAGTAACTCTAATGCATATGAGAAGTTTGGAAGAAAAAGGTTTATCAAATCCCTCGGGAAAGATAATTTTGTTGACAAACATTCGACAACCCTTATGATTTTTTACTTCTATCGATGTAACAAATCCTCTCGGGTCGAGACCAATGCACAACACAACGAGCGAAATACCCCTGACTCGCTGTAATGATTGTTATTGCTACTTTACTGATGATATATTGTAGAGTGTTTTCTTTAATCTGAGTTTTTCTTTCTGTTTTTATTTTCTCTGAATTTTTTACTTTTCATTTCTTTTTCTTCGTCGGTGTAATGTTTTGGAGGTATCACATAGCTAGAACCATGTTGTTATATAATAATGGATTATTTTTTCTGTAATGTTTTCAAGTAATTAACATCAATATTGATTAAGAGAAAAAACCCACCATCATCTTTGAGGGAAGAGATTTGTTTTTCTCAGTGTCACTGTGTGTGTTATTAAAAAAGAAGAAAGCACAATAGAACCGAAGACGTTGACCATGATGGCTGTTTGATAACAGAAGTTTCGTTCATTGAACATTTTATTGACAATGTAAACTTATATAATGCAGGGCAGAGTCATACTTATGGCAACGTCACCCCAGAAGGCTATGAACTACCTACAAACTACACAAACCGCAGCAGCGACACTTCACATCAAAGAGAAAGCGATAATTTCCTAAGTAAGTTAATTTCCTGTCAGGGTCCTTCTGGGATCTCAAGTGTTATTCCATTTCTTTAAGCCATAGTCCTGGATGACAGAATGATAATATAACAATGTTAAATACAGAATATTGGTGGAAGTAGTATTTTAACCTTGATGGTAAGCAATCTGCATCAACAAATGCTATATTAAATGTTAGGTCATTAGGTCAGTTACTTATTGTGAGGCCTTAGCTCTCCTATCAAGTAACCCACTTTCCGAACATTTCCTACATAAAACATTTGATTATATTTTTGTAACATTTCATTGCGGTTTTTATTTAACAGTCATCTGTAACAGTTCTAGATCACAATATAGATTTATATGAAGCCTCTATTTCCGAAACACTCGAAGTTTTTATGTCGCGTGCACAATGTTCTGTGTAAACAGGAAAAAATGAATAGGGCATAGGGAAACAGTGGTGTTCATGTTAAATATAGATGAAGGGATAAAGGATTGACTAGGCGCTAACGACACACGCTATGTAAACCGAATTCTATTCAAGGAAGCAATTTTACATTTCCAAATGAGGCAGTTGTAAACAGCAACGAAAAAAAATGTTCATATTTTCTTCAAATAAAAAATGAAAATCGTGATTTGACATTCCATCAAGATTTCCTGTACTGACAATTTCACAGGCATCTGTCATGTGGTGAAAACTGTACATGTTGTAATAGATCGAAATAGGTTCTCAAGATTGTTCCTCCTACCTCCTAATTTGTTCCTGACAATATCACTTATTTCCAATATTGTTTCGAATTCAGAATTTACATCTGTACATTTTTCACAAATACCAGAGGACGTTTGTAAACGTTGCTTTTGTAAACTTTTAGTTTTGGAGTATAGTAACTTGCTATCCGTCATACCTTTGAGAGTGAAAAGGCAATCGCCTAGTATGGGATGCTTTAGACATATTTCGTTATCAGTAGCAGATAAATAGATCAGATACAAGTTCTAGCAACTTATGAACTCTTCTCCATAAATAAAATTACAAATAATTAATATACTGCACGTGACACATATTTATACTATAAACATGAACATATTAGTAGACGTACAATTGTAAGTTTAATTCATTTTGTCAAAAGGAGGAAATGATGAGATGATAGGATAGAAAGAAAAGAAGTGAAAATGAGATAGTATAGATTTTATATCAATTCTATATCAGGGGATGACAGTGAAATTTTGATTGAGTGAAACATGACACAAATATGTGAATGATGATAGATGTTTTGCTTATCAGGTGATGCTGCACAAAATGATGACATAACACTGGATTCCAATAACGTGTATGAAAACTTCAAGCGCCCAAGATGTAAGTGTGTATATGTTATATGGTAAATGACAAGATCAAAGAACAAACTGTATAAAGTCACTCAAGCATGGTTGTGAAACAGCAGCTGTGATACATTTTTTAACGCAATAGTTGGTATTTAAATTGTATTCAATGACATCAATTTATCATCACAAACATTTTCTTCGTCATCTTAAAACATTTGATTACATCTGTGTTACATTTCATTGTATTTTTTTTTATTTAACAATCATCTGTAACGGTTTTAGATCACAATATAAATTTATATAATACCTCTACTTCCTAAACACTTACAGTTTTTATTACGTTGTGTGCACAGTGTAGTATAACTATTAAAACGGAAAAATATCATTGTTAATTTGGGAGGATAAGGAAACAGTAGTGTTAACAGTAGATACAGAGAAAGGAACAGAGGATTCACGAGCAGTGTTGACGACACACGCTATATAAATCGGGCTTTATTAAAGGAAGCAATTTTATGTTCCAAAGTAAACGGCAACAGAAAAATTGTTTGTACATATTTTCTTCAAATTACAAAACGAAAATCGTGATTTGGCATTCCTTATGAAATGCATGACTTCCTGTACTGACGCTTTCACCATCATCTGCCATGTGAACAAATGGAAATAGTCTCTCGTGTTTGTCCCTCCTGCCTTCAGATCTGATCCTTACAATATCACCTATTTCCAACATTGTTTCAGACCGTAGAAGTTACGTGTTTTTTTTTCGAATGCCAGACATTAGTAAACATATTTTCGGCTAACTATTATTTAGAATATATACACAATCAAATTACCTGTTATTCCTCATACCTTAGGGAGTGAAAAACCAATCATCTTTTAGGGGGTGGCACTGAAATTTTGATGAGGTGAAACATGAAACAGAAATGTGAATGATGGGAGACTTTTGATTATCAGGTGGTGCTGCACAACGTGATGCCAGAGTGCGAGATTCCAATCACGTTTATGAAACCATAAGTGAACGAAGATGTAAGTGTTTATGTTATATAGTAAATGATATCATTATTATTATAACATTTTTAACGGCCCGTCAACACATAAAAGGTCATTAGGGACATCAAACGGTAAAACACACAACGATCCAAAAGGAAATTACATTAAACAAACCAAACGGTAAAAGACAAATGTTACAAATCTTAAATGGGTACGTTAAAACAAAAGATTAAAATGATACGTCATAGTCTATTATATAGACCATAATCTTTCAGGTAATGTAGAGTTTTACAAATCTCAACAGTTTCAAAAAGGGATTTTAGACATGTCATGTTACAATAAAAACGTTCTGGAGTAGACAGAAGGTCAATGCAGTCCAATAAAAAAATGTTTAACGGTAAATGGCTCATCACATCCTATGCACCAAGGATTATCTTCGCCTTTCAACATATATGAATAGAAACCGAAAACCAAATGTCTCGTCATCATTATCGTGAAATTGATTTTCTTGCCGCAATAGGTAACAATATTTTAATTCTTCTCAATGAAATCAATTCAGAATTCTTAATCATAAACCAGTGTCATTCACACTCATTCATTCATTCACACATTCAAACGGATTTCGTATGACTGTGAACTTTGATGGGGAGAACTTTGTACCCGTTGACTTCCTCTGCCGCTGAACGCTCGCAAAAAAATGGAAGCTGATACATATTAGACATAGGCAATACAGCTCCTGTTGTGTCCAAAAAAATGCCAAAGAGCTGTTAAATCCAGTAACAGTGACAATGAACGACTGACGTGTGAGCTGTTGATTAATAGAAGTTTGATTAGAAAGTCTATACACGCTCTCGCAGATATAAAAACATTCCAACAGAAGTTCACGATTGCTTTTACGATAATGTAATTTAACACCGATTTTCAATAATTCGTTGTTTTGAAAATAATAAGTTATTTACTTCACGTAACATTTTATAACATTGCCACATATTAATGTTTTACAGTCATTAATTCTCATTTCTTTTACAGTTGTACGTTTGATGTGACGCCATCAGCCAGACGGAGAAAATGGCGTCATTTGATGGAGCAAAACGACAGAGCATATTGACATTTCTATGACAAGTACTGCAGCTTAGAGGAAATATAGATAGAACATCTTAATTCTCTTCTGTTCTTAGTATACTGTACAGGAATTGTCTTCAAAAGATGTAATTGTTTGTGGAACTCAATATCTACCCTCTCTTTGTACGTGTATGAGAGTATGGCGATAAATAGACACTAATATTTATAGGATTTAGGCTGTAATATATTATGTTTATGACACATAACCTCAGTGACTATCGCATGCACAGCACTCCGACTGACCTGAATACAATCACGTAAATTACTTTCATTCAAACATCACCTCATTAAGATTTTTCCCGCTCATTTTAACGGTTCTTCGGCATCCAACCGGCCGATTATCGTGACCTTTGCTATTATTGTTTCTCAAATAGCCTTTTTATATTCTGTGTACAGATGTATTTTGATATATACGTCTTTGTTTTATGTTTTTGTTTATGATGTAACTTTTGTCTTGATGAAGGCGCAGATTGATGATTCTCGGTCTTTGTTGAGTTTGGTGGTAAGATCTTCCAACAGAATACCTGTATACCTATAGGAACTAACAGTGCTGACTGACTGGGGTTTTTTTTGTTTTTTTTCATACATGGCTGAAGTTATTACAGAACTTATCAAAACAAGCCACAAAGAACTTGCCAAACCGTTTGATTTCATCTTCAGGTATATTGACTTGACTTTAAATAACCAGATGTGTATTTACCACCTCCATCATGTGTACCCACCAAAGACACAACAGACTCTTCTACATCAGCCGCTTATCCCGATGTACAATGAAACCAACATGGACAGCTTTCCTCCAAGCTATATTATTATAAACAAGATGATTTCACTTTCCCTATTGTGAATTTTCAATTTGTAGATAGCAATGTTCCTGCTTCCCCAACCCATTGAATCCGATTCGACATTCTATGACATGTTCCCATTATCACGACTTTCATGCAAGAAGTCGTCAACTGACGGACAAACTCGTCAAACAGGGTTTCTAAGGATGCAGGTTTTGGAAATTTAATGTTCATCATATTGATCTCATTGAGAAATATTCCATTTCGTTGTGTATTATGAAGCTCAACGTGTTTGATGCTCAATAGTTTACCTGTTAGTTCCAATGTTTTTATACCTAGTTCTTGGAGAACGTGACAATACTCTTGGATTGACCAAAGTTTACATGGCAGGTGTCGTCGATGAAGTAGAAGACGCTTACTCCTACAGAACACCTGGTCATATTATTCTTTTACATCTTCAGGAGTCTCCGTGAAAATCTTTCTTCTGTTCATATTTTGCCCTAGTTTCATGGTCTTTGAGTTTGGATTACGATTATGCTGACATGTTGAACATTTCTTGTTTTTTGCAACTTTGTCTCTGATTTATGATCTATGTATAAAGGTACATTGTGTCTTGATGAAGGAGCAGATTGATTGTTCTCGATAATAGTTTGGGCCTTTGTAGTATGTTCTATATTTGTGATGTATTTTGTCTTGATGAACGCTGCGACGGACACGAAAGTTTACAATTTACTTGTTCGTTATGTCGTTTTTACTTTTTTAATCGTATATCTTTACTAGTATATCGAACGAACATCAGTAGTTGGAATATCGTACCAATAACGATCCATATTATGTCGATATTACTTAATAGTGTTTCAATGTAAATCTATATGACGAAGAAGCGGAGTGATTAAGCTCCTGACCTTGTAGCGCAAGTTTTTGGCGTACGTAGGGTAGTCTCCAGGTATTAGTCGCAGGTGGAAAACCAGCTCTCCTCCAACACCAAAACCTGGCACGTCCTTAAATGGTCCTGGTTGTTAACAGGACGTAAAACAACAATAACCCAATACACCATCGGTGGTTAGTATCAGTTGAAACAACTTGTTTCGCAGTTGTTGTAAAAATAAAATAAAATTTATATTTATATAACTGTGTAAGTAGTTTTTTCGAGAAATTAATGTTTGAGAATGATCTGAAATACAAAGTGAAAATAAGGTAAATGTGCGTTATATATTGTATAGCTATTGGGTTTGTTCTAGGGTCTTTAATACAATGTAGAAAAATAAAATGTAATTACAGTTTTTGACAATGTCTTGTTTCATTGATTCGAAACTATATATACACAGGAACATGTAGTGTACTACCGATCCTCCCATAGGTTACTATATATACACAGGTAGTGTACTGCCGATCCTCCCATAGGTTACTATATATACACAGGTAGTGTACTGCCGATCCTCTCATATGTTACTATATAGACACAGGTAGTGTACTGCCGATCCTCCTATAGGTTACTATATATACACAGGAGCAGGCAGTGTACTGCCGATCCTCCCATAGGTTACTATATAGACACAGGTAGTGTACTGCCGATCCTCCCATAGGTTACTATATATACACAGGTACAGGAAGTGTACTACCGATCCTCCCATAGGTTACTATATATACACAGGTTGTGTACTGCCGAACCTCCCATAGGTTACCATATATACTGCCGATCCTCCCATAGGTAGCTATAGGTTACCATATATACTGCCGATCCTCCCATAGGTTACTATATATACACAGGTACAGGTAGTGTACTGCCGATCCTCTCATAGGTTACTATATATACACTGGTAGTGTGCTGCCGAACCTCCCATAGGTTACTATATATACACAGGTTGTGTACTGCCGATCCTCCCATAGGTTACCATATATACTGCCGATCCTCCCATAGGTAGCTATAGGTTACCATATATACTGCCGATCCTCCCATAGGTAGCTATATATACACAGGAAGTGTACTGCCGATCCTCCTAGAGGTTACTATATATACACAGGAGCAGGCAGTGTACTGCCGATCCTCCCATAGGTTACTATATAGACACAGGTAGTGTACTGCAGATCCTCCAATACTTTACTATATATACACAGGAACAGGTAGTGTACTGCCGATCCTCCCATAGGTTACTATATATACACTGGTATTGTACTGCCGATCCTCCAATACTTTACTATATATATACAGAAACAGGTAGTGCATTCTTGTTTTCAAACCATGGCATGATTAGAAATTGGATTGAGGTGGTCGAGTGATTAAGGTGTCTGACAGTCTTTACTGCTATAGCATGGTACTGGCTGCAGGTCGGTGTTTTTTCTTCAGGAATTTTGACTTCCCTCCAACACCCAATCCAGGCACTTCCTTAATTTATCCAAGCTGTTAATAGAATGGAAGGCAATAACAAAGCAAAATTTTAAAAAACCTTATTTTCAATCAAAGCGGGAGAACTGACGAACGGGTTGCACAAACAATTTTGGTCTTTCTTAGATATTGCAATGAAATCACAGCCATATTTATACTTCATCTGCACCTCAACGAAACATCATTATAGTACGAAGGAAATAAATTACACTTAAGTCTCTAAGTACCACTTAGGATTCATATTACGACGATACTGCTGCATGTGAGAGTTACTTCCTGATTTATCACAGGCCTCGTGACCTGGCTATCGTCTCATTGTGAAGAGGAGCTTCTAGTCTCCTTGCTGTTTTAGCTCAGGACAAGAGAAAGTAAGAGTTTTGATACCCGCCCCAGTGTTGTAGGGTTTGCTGACGTCCCGACTTGGTCTTTGGAGTTAGGGGCTATTGCACTTTTCGAAGCGATAATCAGTGTTACATGTGGTTATTATAAGTGATGGAAACGTCTGTCTGAGTTTCATGCTAATGGTAAATGGGAATGCTCCGACACAGTCAGCTATCTGTGTTTCTTATACATGTCCGGCCTACGGAGACTGTAAATAACTCCGTACAGAAAACAATTGCTGCATTGCCGCCATGTTTCAAACGTATTCTCTCCTCGGAACCTCTCTCGTATTATTGAACTTACCTGAACAATCGGCTTCGGTATTATAGGGTGCAATCCACCAAGTTACAACATAACACGTACTACACATAGAAAACGACAAAATACTAATAAAATACATAAAGTTACATATGCGACCGTGACACACGAGAACCGGGAAAAAGTTCCCTTTGTGATATATCGGTCTTCATTTATGGAAGATTATCAGTGTTATATGTCTTTTTATCATCTTTTGGCTTAGCTGCATCGATAAGCTTGATGTTTCAATAGGAAGACGAATTTATAGTCAAAACGGTAGCATTACTAATTGCTCATAGTTACATCACAAATAATGTGCATTTATTTGATATACACAATTTTTATTGTTCATAGTTATCACATTAACTCTATATATTAAGACAATTTTCATTATTGCATTAAAACATGGAGTGTTTACCTATAAGGAATCTATACTAAGGAGTTATTGTACAGATAACGTATTTCACCCTCGATTTTATCATAATTTTATAGGTAATTATATGTCCTGATCGGGAAGCTGTACCTAAGTGTCCATTTCAGTAGAGATTTATGAAACGAATCCAAAATGTAATTCTGAACAAACCTCTGAAGAAGTTACTTCGAAGCTTCGTCATAATATTTGTAAATATCATATTTTTATTAACATTTATCTATAAATGTAATGGGTAAGTTACGTTCTATTTCATGCAGCATTAGTACAATATACAATTGAGACAATCAAGATCACTATAATACTGTACAGTACATTAACAATAACTATAATTGTAATTATAAAGTAGTTTACAAACACAGGAATACTACAATAATCAACTGAAGTTTAAGTTATATTTACATAAGAAACAAACAAAACCGACTAGGTTACATGCTCTAATTGGAGGCAATGAAGGTAATTTATAATCATCGTTTAATGAAGCCTTTCTTATTACTTCATTTGCCTTTTAAATGAATGGACACAAGTGACATATTCTGTTTATCACATATGAATATAACCATGTCGTACAGACGTCACGTTTATGACAACAGTAAACACCAGCGGATCATAGTTCTGCTTCTTGCCTTTTTTTTTTACATGTGTAGCCACAATAAAAATCATGACGTTGGGGAAAAAAGCAAAATGGCCGATATGTTTGGTCCTTCTGTTGTTGTTTACTTTGTTTGTATAAAG